CGGGGCTCGGGGCTCTCCGGCAGCGGCATGGCAACACGAGGCCCCCAGCAGCCCCCTGCGGCAGCTGGGCACTTTCTGGAGGACCTGAGCGCTTTTCTTCTTGCAGCTGTGCTCACAAGGCAACGATCCTGGTTTGCCTGGAAAGCCGACGATTTGATGGTAGCTCCTTGGACTGCAAAGCCTTTGGTGTCTGCACATGCTGGCTGCGTGGTCTGAGCGCCCCCGTCTCCCCCTTCCTGCTGCTTGTGCCAGATACCGGTCTGCCAGGAAAGCGCTGGGTGTACGCCCGCCCGGCACCCTCCGTCCTGCTCAGAGTGACCCCGGATGGGGAAGAGGAGCGGATGGATGCTGCAGCAGGCTCATCTGCTGCTTCTCTGCCTGGCGGCTTGGCTCGTGCAGGCATTTAAGAGCCCGGTTTCCAGATGTGAGGGAAGTGACCAGCTCTTACAGATTTTTTGCACAATTTAACATAGCTGGAGAAGAGGCTGGGAACAACCCCTGAATGCTTTGGAAGCTGGCAGGAGCAAGGAAGGAGTTGAAGGGATCAGGAAAAAAAATTCTCAGCCCCTGAAACTCTCATTTAGCATCAGATCAAGACTTAGGCTACAAGGGACGAGCAGAGCCGAAGAAAGCGAGGTGAGCCGAGTGGCATCGGCTAGCAGGAGAGGTGCAGTCGGGACAGTCTGAGCCCGCACCGGATGGGGCGTTGCACCTCCGATAAGGCGTTTGGACAGTCGACGCCAAGGAGCTTCCCAAGGTGTTGGATTCGGTGCCGCCTGGGAGGATGCTGCTCGGCAGAGAAGGGGGGTCGGTGGCAGCGCTACAGCGTGACTGAGAGGCAGCTGCAGGAGAGCCAGCACGGTTACTGCGCGGGGCAGCTTGGGGGAGCCGGCATCTCGGCGGAGGATCGTCGCGGACGGGTCCATGGGTGTTCTCCTGTAGCACAGGAGGAGAACAGCCTCAAGGGAGCTGGAGCTGGAGCAGGTTTCCTCCAGCCGGCACCGTGTGCGTGACCAGGTTGGCTTGCTCTCCAGCTTGCCCCAGCTCTGCCCTTGTCCCGCGTCTGGACATCTGGAAGATGGAGCGAACGCTGGCTGCCCGCGGCCGCGAGCGCAGCGGGAGGGGAGCTCGCGCGGCCCAGGACGCACGGCTGCAAAGCTGAAGCCGGGCACCCAAAAGGGAGCATTTAGAGCAAGTGTCCGCTCCAGGACTGGTGCTTTTTGCAAAGCTGCTCTCGCAGCCTCTTCCCCTGCCCGGCTCATTCCCCCCTGCCTTCAACCGCAGCGCCCCGAATTGCACTGACGGCAGCACCCGAA